CATTATGATACTTCTCAGTGTTGGGCCGTGGATCCTGACACCATTACAACATTGCGAAAACGATGCCAGATGCCTCTTATGTATCGAAAATTGACTGCGACAGAAACAGAGATTATAACACATTGGTCTTCATATCTACCATTAATAATCACCATTGTTTCTTCTTCACGCATAATAGTCACTTAAGTTTTATTAGACCTCAAAAATATACGAAAATAGGCCAAAACTGTAATGATGGTGAGACATTTTCTGGCCCTAATTACTAATATAACTTTATTTTTTTATCTGTTATATTTTTTCACTTTTTCATCTTTTAATTGCTCTTTTATCCAGTACTTGTTACAAGGATCGAAAGAATGTCAATTCTGAATAATACGTTTGTAGTCAATTAAATACAAGAAAAAAGTAAGTTAATTATATTTTGTACATGATCAATTGGGGAGAATAACCTACTCGTACTGGACCAGGTCGTGTTCTCCGTCCAGTCTGGATATTGATAGTCGCCGGTTCTCCTATTCCAACAATATTGCGCAATGAAAGACGCAACTGGTAACCAGTCTCACCAACCAAGCCTATCAGGCCGAGACATGAATCGCTAACTAGCTGACACTTGGGTCGGGGCCAGATGGGCAAGGCAACAGCTTTTTTTGCAGTATCGGGTAGATCAAAGAAGAGGAAGTGGAGTCGAGTTGATGTATCTAATGGGAACTCGACCGGCCCACGGGCCGAGGAGCCGTATGGCTGGTAGATAAGACAGAAAGCCATGGGCGGTAAGCCACCGCTTTTCTTGGACGGCAGAGCAAGGATGCTTACTGAGGACTGGGTGACTAAGTATGCGACTATCTGAAGTATGAGAACAAATAGATATGAAATGAGTTTTGAAAATTAAATAAATTTATAAGGGTTATTGTCTGAAGGAAAAAAACTTCGCTTTTTGGAAAGACTCGGATAGCCTAACAATACAGTAGGAACGGGCGTTTAATTATGGAAATAACTCAAAATTTTAAACTAAATGAGTTAATAATATAAATGTATGAAAAAGAGATTCTGAGGTTGATACCACCAGAAGACGAAGGCTGAATCCCATTATATTGCAAACTTTTGGCTTTAATAGGACGTTCAGATTGACGCAGTTCACGAGACATCCTCCCTCGATTCGGGTGAAGAGTGGCTGAACTTTCGTCCATCAAATGATGGATATCATCAGATCTGGAACTTATTCTTATAAAAGTCTCACGTTACCACTAAGGCAAGACTATCCAGCTCTATATTATCTATTATAGCGACTCAATTAAGCAGAAGAAAATTAACAGGCATAGCTAGATAAGGAATGGCTTGGCTAATTAACTTTCATGCTGGTCCTGCTACTTTTATTCGTATAAGAGTACGTTTTCGAGCTACTTTTGCTCGTGTGTGTTTATGTGTGTGTGTTTTAATGTATATACGCAATACAGGTCCTAAATT